GAGCTTGAAAAAATGTTGCCAGATACACACTAAACTATTACCAGGGAGTAAACTTGAGGCAATGGAGAGAACTGATGTTTTTCTTTAATATATAATATAGTAGTTATGGTGATAAACTCTGGAGTCAGACAAGGTTCAAATGTCATTTCTACCATTTCTCATTTCTCATGTGTCACTGGGCAAGTTCCTTAACCTCTTTGTGCCTCTTTCTCTCATCTGTGAATGGAGATCACAATTGTTTCTATTTCATAGGGTTAAGATGAAGATTGAGATAATACATATAATATGCTTAAGGATATTTAACCCTTAGCAAATACTTGATTAATGTGGGCTATTATTTTGTTTGTTTCAAAATAAATAAAAGGAAAATACTTTATGGCAAAACAGTTGAAGAGGAACCATGTTATATTACAAGAAGAGGAGAAAAAAGAAACAGAGAGGGAAAATAACTATCAATTTCATCTCAAAGAAACTTCTCTTTCAGCCTTCTGACCATTTGATCCATGCTTGGTGCACAACTCTTATCTCAGGTTTTCCTTTCACCTTCCCCTGGGGATTTCTTTTGTCTGTCTTTTATGCTGAATTACCTTTTTCTGTGTTTTAGTTTTTTCATATCTTTTGTTAGCTCTCTCATTTTAGTAGGCCATACCTGCCACTATCTTTTTAAAAAATAATACATGTGAGGTAAATTTCTTTGAGATTTTGTATGCCTGAAAACTCCTTTAGTATATTCTCACACTGAACTGTGCTAGTTTAATTAGGTATAAAATTCTAGGTTGAAAATCACTTTTCTTCAGAAATTTTAAGACACTGTTCCATTGTCTTAGCTTCCAACTATTCCATATTTATATTTCAAATAAATATCATTTATTTGAAACTTGAGTTTTCTCTCTGGAATATTTTGGAATCTTCTCTGTCCCATGTGCTTTGAAAGTTCATGACTGGACTAGCTCTTTAATCCATGTAACACTGAGCAGACCCTTTAAGTCTAGCAACTGTGTCCCTAAGTTCTGGGGTATTTTCACATATTTTTGATAATTTCCTCCCCTCTGTTCTTGGTATTCTTCCCTTCTGGAATTTCACTATTTTCCATCCAATTTTTTCTTTTCTTTTTTTTTGTAAGAATTTTATTGTTCTAAAATTTTTATTGAGTTTTAAATTTTTTTCTTATGATATCTTTAATTTCTAAGAGCTCTTTTTTGTTATTGTTTTGTTCTCTGAATGTTCTCTTTTTAAGAACACATAGCATTTGTTTTCTTATTTCATGGATATAAAATATTCACCTAGATCTTTGAGAACAATAATAAACAGCTGGGATTTTTCCCCCAGTTTTTCTTTCCCTGCATGATTCTGTCTCTTTTAATTTATTGTATTGTTATAGTTTCTGTCTTTTTTATATTGAAGTCTTTCTTCAAAAGTCTGGTAATCCCTTATAAGGTAGATGGGATACGGGGAGAAGCTAGAAGAAGTTAAAAGGATCCCCCCTACAGATTTAAGAAGGAGTATGTCCCTTGCCACCCCTCTGATATGAGACTCTAGAACTTTGAGACAGTAAATTTCTGTTGTTTTGACCTTTAAAAAAAAGTTGGGTGGGGCTTATGGACTCTGGAAGAGGATGTGGTCAGATCATATGACTAAGGAGTGCCTGGTGTATCTCTAGGTCTTTTCTTTAGAGCTGGCCAGAGTCCCCAGATAGGGGTTCTTCATTTCTTGCCTCACAGAGGTTTGAAACCTGAGGGTTGGCAGAGGAAGAGAACCAAAGGACTCAGCACCCAGAATATAACCTTTTAACTGATTACCCAGATGTGGGATGGTGCTCACCTGCAATAGTTGCTGGTATTATTGGACCAGAAATCCACTGTTCCTCTCATCTTTTTCTGGAGTGGGGAGATTAGAAAAGGGGAACTAGGGCTCTAGGAGCCTCCAAAAGACTTGCTAAGTATCCTTATCCTTAGCTCTTAATTTACACTTTTTAATGTATAATACCTTCAATTTCTTGGTCATTGAGTCTTTCAGAGATGTAAAAACTCTTATGCTCCTAGGATCTTTGTGCTCTTGGCTTATGGTATAGCTTTTCAGATTTTCTAAATTCAATTATTGTTCATCCATCTACTTTCCAACTTGTGGCTTTCTCCTCTCCCTTTTAGCATAGATTTTTGACTTTAAAAACATGCCTTTACTGCCATATTAGTGGTGTTTCAGAAAGGAGATTGTAGGCAATTGACTTCAACCCAAAATCTCCCACAATGTTATTTTTAAATGAGAAAAAGTCAGCAGGATTCAGTGATGGTTTGTATATAAAAGGTGAAGAAAGAAATCTGATGTAATTCCAAGATTTCCAGTCTGGGTGATTAGGGAAATATAGTATCATTTAGAGAGATAGGGAAAAGGAGAGAGGAAACAGATGGGGTGGGAGGGTAGCAGATGGTTCTGTGAGTTTAGACATATTGAAATTGAAGGGATGGGAAACATCCAAATGGAAATGCTATGGAGACAATTGAATAGGCATTAATGGAGCATATAAAAAGGTGAAGGCTGGCTATGTAGATTTGAAAATAAGCTGAATTCGAGTTTTATTAAGGTAAGGAAGAGTAGGTAAATATTGAAGAAGTGAGAGCTTAGAAAGAATAGAAAAGACCCAGCTTGAAGAATAAGTAAAGAATAGAAGAAAAAGAAAGTTTTTTCACCAGAGAGAAAAATAGACATGGTTAGAAATGGAAGATAATCAGTATTGTGTACAATGTGGAAACCACTGATAGCATGTACATTTGAACAATCCGCAGGCCAGGAAGTGACTGAGTCCAGATAAAACTTCAGGATAATGCAGAAACCCCCAAAATGTCATTTGAGATGTTAATCTCACAGTGGGAACTGAGGAATATGGACACCAATGGGACCTCCTGTGATACCATTGCACTACAGTGAGGAAAAGGACAGATGGTATCAGAATCCTACAAGTAAGGCCAGAGCAGGGTCAAGAGCCGGAGAGAAGAAAGAAAAGTGGTTGGTGGAGATTCCAACAGGTAGACAACAGGTGTCTCAGAGGTACAGGTACAAAGTTCAGAGATCCAAACATGGAGAAAATCAGGTCAAATCACCGAGACCAAGGGCTGGGGATGTGGCTCAAGCGGTAGCGCGCTCGCCTGGCATGTCTGTGGCCCAGGTTCGATCCTCAGCACCACATACAAACAAAGATGTTGTGTCCACCAAATACTAAAAAATAAATATTAAAATTCTCTCTCCCTCTCTCCCTCTCTCTCTCTCTCTCTCAAAAAAAAATCACTGAGACAGGGAAATAAACAAACAAAAGAAAGAGCTCAGACAAACAAATTACTACCATCAGAGGTGGGGCACCAGCAAAATTAGCTTACAGATAATCATAAACAGAAAGATCTCTAACAGCTTCCCTCTCTAGGAGCATGCCTTAATCCCAGATGGGAGCTAGAGTGAGCTAACACTGACAGCAAACATAAAGGCAACTAATCTATTAAAATGTAATACTCTATAACCCAGAAAGTCTATCTTGCTATTTACCCTAGAAAAATACTCACATCTGTGTACAAGAAGTCTATTCAAAGATGTTCATTGGGACATTGTTAGCAATCAAAGATTTGAAAACAACCTAATGGCCATCCAGAGGGGAATAATTAATTAGGGGTACCCAAACTGAAAGAATGCATAGCCATCAAAATGAATGAGATAGTACTCAATGTCTGATATGAGAAGATCTCCAAAATTTAACACTGAATTGAGGAGGGGAGTGGCATAATATGATGAACCATATGAAACCATTGGTGCATTTTAGGGAGAGTGAATGAGAGGGAGAGAAGAAGAGACATGACAAACATAGAGGGGTTCTGGAGGACAGAAAACTGGAAGATCATTACGGATTATCACCTTTTGACTTGTTGCATTCTACAGCAATACCAAGTCCGAGAAGAACTATGAAAAGGCAACAGATGTGAGAAGACAGAAGTTGTCACTGGCCTTCAGGAGAGTGCTACTGGCTGAGCAGTAGAGGTAGGAGAAACATTGGGGACAGGGAAGAAGATGGAAGGTGACTGATTGGGTGTGGTCTCTACACCTTACAACTTGGCCTTTAAGGTTAGCAGAGGGATGCTGAAGCTGGCACATGGAAAGGTACAATGAAGACTTTTTGACTAAGGGAGATCTGGGCATATTTGAATTTGAAATCAGTAGGGAAATGAACATTGGAAAGAGAGTAACTGCAGATGTTATAGAGACAATAAGGATGTGGGTTACAGAATGTTGGTGGTTGAAAGAGCTCAGACCTCATTTTGTCCCCATATTTTACACTCCAGGAAACTGAGGCCTAGTGAGGTGCTGTGAGAAAGATTATGGTTTTAAATCCAGACTGCATCTCTTAGTAGCTTAGAAACTGCTTTAAGGCTGGGGTGTGGCTCAGTGGTAGAGCATTTGTCTAGCATGCATGAGGCCCTGGCTTCAACCCCCAGTACTGCAAAAAAAAAAAAAAAAAAAGAATGAAAGAAAGGAACTGCTTTGAGCCACTACTTTCTCATGCTCAGAATAGGTATAAAAGCTGACCACCTCCCACAGTTGTGAGGGTTTTTTATTGTTATTATTATTAATGAACTTATAAGAATCGACCATGCCTGTCATTCTTTTAAGTACTTCACAAATATGAATTAACTTAATCCTCATAATAACCTTATAAGATAAAATTATTAATATTCCCTTTTTCATGTCCCTGAAACATAGGCCTACACATGGCTAGAAAGTGATAGACCCAGGATTCAAAGCAGACAGCTGGTTCCTATGTCCAAGCTCTTACTCAAGCTACTGACTCCAATTTAAGTCATGAAAAGTCCATGACATGATGCCTCACATGTTGACGAGAAGTGAAAAAAATAGTCACATTTATTACTAGAGAAAGAGCTAGCACTAGAACTCAGGTGTCCTGGTGCCCAGGTTCATTCCTTTATAACACATTGTGTGGGTGACTTTATTCAGAACGTCCCTAGAAATAATGGGAAAATGACAAAAAGAAGCATCCACTGTCTCTGCAGAAAAACCAGGCCCAAATGATTCTGAACAAGAATTTCCCAAGCACAGGGAAGGATTCATTACTTGTCAGTCAAACCCATACCAGGACATGTTCTGAACTCCTTCATTTCACTGGAATTTGACTAAGTCGAGTATTGCTTAACCCAAGGGGATTGCAAGTCAGTGTGTGCCGGGTTCTGTTCATGACTAAAAGGCTCAGGGGTTACTCCAGTTGAACTGGGCTAACTGGGCTGTGCAAAACAACCACACAAGAGACACAAATACCTTTTTCATTGGGGTCACTGTGATGGCTCCTCTGACCTTAAGGGTTCTCAGGAAGAGAGAGAAAGAGAGAGAGAGAGCATGCGCTGACCCCTTTTATTGAGGAGAAGCTATTCAAATGAGGCAAGGGGTCAGTTTCAGGGGGCTAAGTCTAGCTTCATGATGTACACTGTCAGCAGGTTGACTGACATCTGGGTAGGCCACACCCAAGGGCCTAAGAGAAGGGGACACACACAAGGCACTTCCATGGAAGATTCTATCCTCAACATGGCAAGGGGTAATATTACAAAGGAACAGGTGAGCTTAGCTCTACCCTGAGGCTGTAGGAAGACACACCATGCACGAGACACCAACTCTCGAACCCAAGAAGGTTGGGGAAAGCTCTGCTACGTTTCTGTGACTGAGCGCCTCAGCACCCAGCTGGGGAGTGTGACTCAGTCACGTGCAAGGTTGATCTCCCACAAGTGTGTTTTAATCAGCTTTTTCGCTGCTGTGACTAAAAGACCCAATCAGCACAATTGTAAAGGAGGAAGGGCTTAGTTAGGTGCTCATGGTTTCAGAGGACTCAGTCCATAAGTGGCTGGTTCCATTCCTTGGGGCTCAAGGTGAGGCAGGACATCGTGGCGGAAGAGTATGGCAAAGGTACGCAACTCACATGATGATGAGGCAGCAGAGAGAGAGTCTACTCACCAGATGCAAAATATATACCCCAAAGCCACACTCCCAATGGCCACCTCCTCCAGCCACACATGACGGGCCTCCAGTTACCATTCAGTCTATCCCACGAGGGATTAATTCACTGATTATGTTAAGGATATAACCCAATCATTTCTCCTCCAAACCTTCTTAAATTGTCTCAAACGTGAGCTTCTGGGGAATTCCACATTTAAGCCATAACACAGTGTTTAGTAACCTTTCTACTTATGTAAAGAAGTTTCACTCAGTTTTGTAGTTGCAACAATTTTATATGGTGGCAGCTTACCATGGGCATCCAAAAACATGACATCATAACTCCAGACCATGCTGGCTTTCCATCAGACTGGTTCATGCAGCTCAGTAGCAGCAATCAATCATCTCCGTTCAACAGCTGTGAAGTATATTGGTAGCATCACTTTAACTTCTAAGTAAGGAGGTCTCCACTGTGTGGAAATGGATATCCTCCTCAGTAGGCTCTGTAGAAGAGCCAGAGGTGGGGTAAAGGTTGTAGTGAGCAGCCAGGAGGTCAGTAAAGCACAGGCCAACTGTGGGAAAGGAAGTTGTCCCTCTTTCCGGGAAGGGCCATGTTATCTTCTTCATGGTACATTTCTCCAGAGCATATTTTGGCTTCTAAAAAAACAACTTCTGCTTCCAGGGAGATTTTCTTCAAAGGTTAGGACTCAAAAGGCTTCGGTTGAGACTTCATAATGCATGTGATGATAAAGACAATTATAAAGACAATTACAGATCGGCAGCTGCAAGATCTAAAATGGCCACTACTCTTCTCTTCATTTGTGCCTGCAATAAAACTCATTAAGAGCTTAATGAGAATTTAAGGATTATTTTCTCTATGTTATTCTGAAGATCTGGCACTAATTAGAAGCCCAGAGTTGTTTCCCCAGAGCCTGGGGCAAAAAAGAAGAGAAGTAAGAGTAAGATATCCATTCTTCCAATTAACACTTACAAGGGCTATGATAAGGAAGGTTCTGCACTAATTGTGTGGAGGTGGAGAGGGTGAGAGTATGTATAATCGCTACCTTTCAGGACTTTATTTACTGCACATGATAAGACATGGAACTAGGTTCTCAGATAAGTCAAAAGCGAACCTGGATTCAATTCCCACTGCATGCACCCTGTGTGACTCTCTCAGCTCCATTTCCTCACTATGAAAAGGAGGGTAATGTAGGCCTGTCCTCATAGCATTGCTGTAGGAGCTAAACAAAATTGAGTATTTAAAAAGTTCTGTGGTGTGCCTAGTGCACAGTTGGAATTCGTTATGTGTTATTGGATATTGCTATTATTAAAAATAATCCAGAGCAGATGAAAATCACTTCAATCATGAATATTCATAAAGGTAACAGTTAGGTTTTTGAATAGGGATACACTTTGAAGGATTTGGACTTCTGTGAGATTGGAAGTTTTACAAAATATTTGAAAAGAATAATATTTATGTGGTCTCCCAAAATTATGATTATTCTTCTCTTCAATGCTGTGGATATGCCACCCTGCCTCTAGATTGTCCCATGTACTGTCTACTCCCTGGGCTCTGGACCTCCATGGCCATCTTTCCTAGGGTCATCTCCCCTCAAACACAAAGCAGTTTTCCTGGATCTTTCTGCTACCCTGGCCACAGTGCTATCTATGCCACATTTCCACTCTTCACAGTTAGCCTTAAAATTTTTCTTGAAAACTCGCCTCTCTTATGCAGAACTTAACCTGTTTTCTGGAACAAACCAATGTCACAAATTAGATCAAAAATCTAGACAACGACTTTTCTCTGTCACAGATATTTCCATTTCCCCAGGAACATTTAGGGGTGGAGGAAACAGATGTTAAGAATTCTTTGTTTGGGCTGGGATTGTGGCTCAGCGGTAGAGTGTCCCCCTAGCACGGGCAGGACCCGGGTTCGATCCTCAGCACCACATAAAAATAAAGGCAATGTATTGTGTCCATCTACACCTAAAAAATTTAAAAAAAGAATTCTTTGTTATTATTGTTTATTATTATTATTATTATTGCTATTATTATTATTATTATTATTATTATTATTGGCCTCTTGCTTTGTGGCATGGAGGAGTCCATGAACTTTTCTCTGGACCCAGATGTCAAGGAAATGTAGTGATGATGCAGGGGAAATGACAGGCACCACCAGAGGACCAGCCTCAGGGGAACAGCTGTACCAGCTCAGCTCCAGGCTGTCCCTGCATAGTGCCAAACCCCAGGACACACCTGAGTGTGGCAGAGTAGCAGGCCAGGCAAAGGGTTAAGGAGAAAGAGTGTGGGGGGATGTCATCAAGTCCCTTGGTGCTTTGGGATCTATTTTGCGCCTGAACCAGAGTCTCATTTGACATTAATGGAATTGGAAGCTGGAAGTTTCTTTGGTTGTTTGGGACCTGAAGCAGCTGGCATGGAAATGAAGAGGGACCCAGCATCATCTGAAATAAATCCGGTATGTGCAGGAAAGGAGGGGCTGCCCCACAGCTTGGAAGGAAGGCGGTGTCCTCCAGTAAGGAACTCTGTGCCGGCATCTCGAGTCTTGACCTGGCTGCCCAGCGTCTGCGGTTTTCGAGCCTAGTTATTAGCTTCACATGAACCTGAGGTTGGAAAACCTCCACCATCCTGGTCTGGGGAAGCAGGAAGGGAGCCTGCCTCTTCTTCATATCTTTGTAAAAGGTGGTCAAAGCTGTCTAACGTCTGAACCCTCTTAGTTCAGGCTCAGTACCCTGACAGGATTTAGCATAGCCACCCTTTAATCTGGCGTTGAAATAGTTCTATCACCGACTGGGGATGTGGCTCAAGCGGTAGCACGCTCGCCTGGCATGCGTGCCGCCCGGGTTTGATCCTCAGCGCCACATACAAAGATGTTGTGCCCACAGAAAACTAAAAAATAAATATTAAAATTTCTCTCTCTCTCTCTCTCTCTCTCTCTCTCTCTCTCTCTCTCTCTCTCTCTCTCTCTCTCTCTCTCTCAGAAAAAGAAAAGAAATAGTTCCATCCCATTATAGTTGAATGTGAGATCACAGGCTTAGGGAATGTAGAGCACTCACCCAGCATGTGAGAGGCCCTGAGTTTAATCCTCAGTACCACACACACACAAAAAAGCACAAACTTTAAAGTATCACCCCACTGGTTATGAGGAGAGTGTGCAGCCTTTCATTGGAGGGATCCACATGCCCTCCTGTTAAGCCTTTGGCCTAACTCCCAGTTTACAGCATATCCAGAGACTGGAGAAACAGGTCCCGCCAGGAGGAACCAACCAGGCAGATCCAAACTATGGGACATTCCACAGGAGAATAATTCCAGTCTCTTCAACAAGTTAGTAGCATGAAAAAAAGGTGGGAGGATTGCTCAAAATTTAAAAAATTGACATTTTAGAGCTATAAAACCAAACCCAAGACAAAACAAGCTGTGGGGTGAGACAAACAGGGTTCACATCTTGTTTTGACCATGTAGCCTTAGACCAGTTGCACAACCTCTCTGAACCTAAGGGAGTAAGTTTCAGAGATATTAAGCAACTGATCTACTTCATAGAACTATTGTTCAGATGAACTGGGAAAATTCTGGAAAGCCTTTAGCATAGAGTGTTTGCAAACTAAGTACTCAAAACCATCAGCTCTTGGAGATTAGTGGGTTGGCCTTTGCCTGCCTGTGGAGCACCCTGGGTCTGGGGCCATGGTGGCCTACCTGCTTACATACTTACCTACTTTCCTGCTTATCATGATGGGCTTCTCCACATTGGATGCCTATAGTCATGCACTGGGGACTGTGATCTCCCCAGGCACTCTCCCCATCACATCCACACACTTCTTAGGGTGAGGCTAGAGCAGCAACCAAGGTCTGCTTGTGAGGAAATATGTAAGAACATGTTTAGCAGTCACTGTTGGGCCCTGCCCCATCCCCTGGAACTTTCCTATTTCAAGGCAGTTGCTGGCACATACATCTCTCTACCTCAAGGCTTTCTCTACCTGTTGGAGCCTTCCCTGATCTCCAGAAGTGGTAGGGAATAAACACCCCTCTGCTTCCTCCCCTCAGGAGTTCTCCACCAGTGACAGCCATTGGAGAATAGGTGTCCAACACCCTTACCCCTCTGGTGAGATATCTCTGACACAGAAACAGTGGAAATAGTGTATTCCACACTGTGTCTGAGAATTTGGCAGCAAGAGTAAGTTTTTCTCATATCCACCAACAAACTGGATACCCTCTAGACTAGCTTTATTTGCCTTCCCCTGAGTTATCCCCTACATCTGTTGCCTCTGTTTCCAGGATGATCACCCAAATAAACTACCTGCATGGAAAGCTGTCTGAGGGAACCAAAACTAAGATGGCACATACATGAGTTTGGATTGTACACTGAGGGCAGTGACAACTGATGAGGTACTGACTAAACTATAGTTCACAGTGTTCTTCTAGAGATCTGAGCTATCTTGCTCTTGCCTTTCCACCATCAGTGTTAGAGTTTGAATCCAATCAGAGCAGCAAGTGCCATGCCTCATTCTCCACAGTTACTCCCAGAGCAGCACCAGGCACAGTGGGCTCCCTCCAGCCTCCCCTCCACAACAGCCTCCTCACCTTGCTTCCCACCAGGAGTGATGGCTATGAAGCTGGCACCCTAGAGGCCTTGGTTACCCAGAGACATGTTGGCTGCTTGGAAATGCCTGAAGTTTAAGCATCCAATCCTGCAGAGGGCATCACTTCTGTAATAGAAAACATCTAGAAGAGGTGAAGCTCTGGACAACACCTGACTGACTGCCTGTGAGTTCTGAGCCCGGGGATCAAAGTTCAAAGATCAAAGTTCAAAGCCTCAGCAACCTAACTTCTGCAGGATCACTGAGAAAGCCCTGGAAAAGACCCCCAAAGACTGCACTGCTTCTATCAAGAGAATCCTAAACTCTCTACCTTGCCCATGAACACCTGTGCCTATGGACATGCTGAGGAGGCCCAGAACAAGTCAAGAAGCAATAAGAACAGGCAGCAGGACAAATGGCAGCAAGGCCTTGAGCACCGCTCTTGGAACTACTTCAGAAAGAGTGAGAGTCCAAGCTGGCATTATGGTAGAAGTGGAGCCGAGTCCCTGACACTCTTGTGTAACGTTCTGCTCCCTTCTCGCGAGACGTAGTCAGAATAAACAGACTGAACACACTGTTCTATTGTCCTATATTCCTGAAGCTAGCTACTCCAAGATCTATGTCCTTTACCAGGCTGCAAATTGGTAAAAAGGAAGCAAGCTTAAGATCAGCAAACCTCTTGCTTCTCTCCTTTAGCAATCATGCAGATTTGCTTTCTTCTGCTATTAAAACACAAAAACAAAGAACTGGGGGATAGCTTAGTGGTAGAGCACTTGCCTAGCATGTGTGAGGCCCTGGGTTTGATTCCCAGCACCACCACCAAAAAAAAAAAAAAAAAAAAAATTCTATGACATGGATTGTGAGGCATAGTGGCTCACATCTATTATCCCAGCAATTTGGGAGGATCAAAGTTCAAAGCCTCAGCAACTTAGTGATACCCTGTCTCAAAATTAAAAAAAAAAAAAAAAGTCTGGGGATGTAGCTCAGTGGTAACGTGGATTCAATTCCCAATACCAAATAAGTAAATAACCCAGAAAGCAAACACATGCCAAAACTTGCCCTCCAGAACTCCAAAAGAGATCATAGAGTTAAGATTGGATGTCATCAATATAACTTCTGCCCCAAGGAAAGTAATAACTAGGGTCTGAGTGGTCACCCAAGTACACCAATAGAAGCTCAATCACAGGTCAAAGGAACCCTCTGTCCTCACTGCTTTGCCAAGTAACCTGAACTGCCGCAGTCTGGCTGGGCACAAATCAGGAGCCACTTGTCAAAAGAAACGAACTTTATTTTTAGAACCACACAAGCCAAACAAAACAGCTCCTCAGGAAAAACCCTCAGATCCCAACTGCCACCACCGTCTTCCCACAAGCCTCTCAACCTCCCCCACTCCTCCTGCTCTTGAGGCCTATTGGCTGGGTCGTGTGGGCGGAGCCAAAAAGTTCCCCAATGAGCAGCTCCGTAGTCTGAAAGGGCGGGGAAACAGCCCAATGAGCATGACTGCAGAGGAGCCAATCAGCTAGATGTTGCTGGGGCTGCTGTGATCCAATCATCAGCTGGCAGTCTGAAAGTCTGCTGGGGCCCCTTCGGCTGTGGCTTTCAACACTGAACCAAGTCTGGGACCCTAGGCCACCTGAACAAAGAATCCCATTGCTAGGCAGAGGGCCAGAGTAGTAATAATGTTTTTGTTTTGTTTTGTTTTGTTTTGTTTTAAGAGAGAGAGAGAGAGAGAATTTTTTAATATTTATTTTTTAGTTTTTGGCGGACACAACATATTTGTTTGTATGTGGTGCTGAGGATCGAACCCGGGCCGCACGCATGCCAGGCGAGCGCACTACCGCTTGAGCCACATCCCCAGCCCCAAGTAGTAATAATGTTATCTTGGTATTTCTTGGCATTGTATTTGATGAGAAATACAAGAAAAAACAAGGAAATGAGCTGGTCTCTTCTTTGGTGTCCTCTAAATTTCATACTGATGTGATTTTTCAATACCCCAAACAAAGACTTTCCCAGGGCAGGGTTACTTCCTATCTTGGATCAGCTGAAATGTTTTAAAACTCATAGCTGATGGTTGATATCTCTGGAACTCAGGAACTGGCACTGTCCAGGCTGACATTAGTTCTGTGACAACAGCTGAATCTTTGCTCTGAACTACCGTGAACTCTAGAACATCTGATTCACCATACTCCTCTCTACCCTGGTCTTATGCTCCCTTAGCAGCTAGAAGCTCATATCTCCATTTCTGGGTCCACAATTTAAATTTACCAAAAAAAAAAAAAAAAGAGAGAGAGAGAGAGAGAGGCAAAAAATCTGGCAGGCATTAGTAAGAGGAGAATTTTTCCTTTAGGAGAAAAATACATATTAATTATATGCTGAGTGACCATTAGACCAGATAGAGACCATCTACTAAAGGTTAAATTTCAGTGTAAATGAGATAGAGGAGGAGAAGGAGGAGGAGGAGGAAGAGAAGGAGGAGAAGGAGATAAAGGAAGGCAATTTTCTAAAGACGTCTTAAAAAGTATTATAACTAGATTGATATTCCCAATGGGAGAGAAAATATACAAAAAAATTCTTTCATCTAAATTAATCCATTAGCAATGCATTTTAACAAATTTATCCACTGACTGTATTCAGAGTAGCATAGGCATGTGACAGCCTGATTTTAGCATTTAATTCAATGATGTACTTGCAGAGTATATTTAAAGGGAAAAGATACAGATTTCATTCAACAGAACTTTATTATTCTCATTATTATTGTTACTATTTGGTACTGAGGATTGATCCCAGGGGCACTCTACCACTGAACTGCAACCCCAGCCTCCCACCCATTTTTTTTTTTTTTGAGACAGGGCCTTTTAAGTTGCTGAGGGCTTCATTAAATTGCTGAACCTGCCCTCAGACTCCTGCCTCAGTCTCTCAAGTTGCTGGGATCACAGGTGTGTGCCACCACACCAGGCTCAATTGATCTTATTTGGCAGTTTATACAAGAAGCTTCAGAATGTTTTTTTTTTCCACCTGCTTTGCTTCAGTGCTTCTAAACTAGATAGGTCTGCTGCACTGTCACCTTCACACCCAATGTTTAGATAAATACAAAGAAGAATAATCCCTGGAAGGAAAATGAAGGTTCACTGTGCTTAGTTTGCATCCAAACACATAATTCACATTGATGAAAAGACTCCAGTGATTGCTTATCCATTACAGATCAATTGCAGATGAGGCTTTAACTTTATTAGAAGCATAATTTAGGAATCCTGTAAACATTTAAGATTTAAAACCCACCGATGGAAAGCATAATCATTAACCTATGTGTGAAATTAAATCTAACCCTAAGGAATATTTATGTGCACATTGAAACTCCACCTGAGACTTTTCCAAGAAAATTATATACTAGGGGAGTATAAGGCAATTTAACCAACCTGGCTCCTGGAAGCTACCATCCTATCCTAAGGAGTGTCACCTTAGTGTTTGTCATCTGCTTATTATAGTTGGCTGTGGGAGACCCACTAGCACGTGACTGAGTCCATTCCCCTAGGGTTCACGTGTCTGTGTCTTCATGCCTGGGTGTGTCTTCCTACAGCCCCAAGGGAGGAGCTACGCTTACCTATTCCTTTGTAATATTACCTTGCCCTGTTTGGGATAGAATGTTCCATGGAAGTGCTTTTTGTGTGACCCCTTCTCTTACTGTGCCCTTGGGTGTGGCCTACCCAGATGTCAGTCAACCTGCTGACAGCAGACATCATGCAACTAGACTCAGCCCCCTGAAACCTGACCCTTTGTCTCATTTGAATAGCTTCTCCTCAATAAAAGGGGTCAGTGCGTGTTCTCTCTCTCTCTCTCTCTCTGCGGACCCTTAAGGTCAGAGGAGTCGTCACAGCCCACAAAGAAAAAGGTATTTCTGTCTCTTGTGTGGTTATTTCGCACAGCCCAATTAGCCCAGTTCCCCTGGAGTGACCCCTGAGTGTTTAAGTCTCGAGCAACCCGGCAGTTGGCCCTCAGTATCCTCAGGTTGTGCACCCACAGATCCAACCAACCATGGATTGAAAATATTTTTTTTTAATTGTCTGAATATGTATAAACTTGTTTCTTGTTATTATTCCCTAAACAATATGGTATAACTACTCTTTACATAACATTTATATCATATTTATATCATATTGTCCATTATAAGTAACTTTGACATGATTTGAGGTATAAAACAGCACACATGTAGATTATATACAAATACTATGCCATTTTATATCAGGATTTGAGCATCCATAGATTTTGGTACTAGAACCAATCCCCCACAGATATAAGTGGCAGCTGTATAAAACATCCAATGTGGTTACCTAGAGCCTATTTCAAAAAGAAACTGATCCGCCCAGTATTAGTTTGTTTAAACTTTAAGATTTATTACGATTAACTCTCAAATGGTTCTATGGTTATCTATATGTAGCTACTTACAACAGAGTGCTACTGTGGTACTGGTTCCCTGTTTGATTCTCACGGTAGCTGGTGAGCTATCAAATAAATTGGTCTTTCTCTACCAAAAGGCACATTCTTTACCATAGGCAACCACCTTACAAGGTGTAGGGCTAGAAGAGTGTGGATGACTCTGAAAGTCCATCAAAACCAAGGCAAAGCAGCTAAATCACAGTCCTATGGACAAAGGTAGGCAAATGTTTATACCCAGCAAGAAAAACTCCTCTCTTGCTGGCTTTGACTAGATAATTAGGCTATAGAAGGCTTTAAGGAAATTTCGAGAGCACCTAAATCTCTCTGTGATACCAAACTCATACCTTAAAGCCCTGGATCTTGTCTCTTGTCCTTTCAAATGTAAAATTTTCTTTTATTAGAAAGCAGGAAAATCCACATATCTCATTATGAATGTGTATTAACTTTCTATAGAATCTAAATCCACTAAACAAGATGACTTAACAGTTTTGCCCCAAGGCTAGTTTGGAGTGAATCAAAAACAAAAGCTGAGATTTCTGACTGAGAAATCTGACTTGTAGCTTTTTGCCTCAAAGCTAGGCTCACCCTGTCTTGACGGAGGGCAACTCCTTATACCAGGTGAGACAAGTCCCAGCACTCTGAGCTTGTGCAAGGCAATTCTATGGGAAGTGCCAGGTCATGCTGCCTGTGGAGCTGCGCCAGGCTGGGGGTTTACTGTCCTCACATGTGGAAATAGCACACAGGGGCTGTTAGCCCCTGCTCTCCCCCTTCCCTCTGGGGTCTCACCACCTTCTCTTTTATCTGTGCTTTTGTCTTAATAAATTTTACTCTGGGTACTATCTTCAGCTTCAGAAAAAAATGTGGCTAATCCTTTCTGAGCTTCATCTTGAGACATTTATAAACTTGTATTCTCATTCCATATTTGTGAATTCTAGTACAAATAACACCCTATTTATTATTTTTGCATTTAATAATGTGTATTTATAGTCATTCTTGAACTGCAGGGGGGTGATTATTATAAAGGATTATGGGTAGTCTTGGGAATGGTCAGGTTTGGGTAGATAAGAGCTTTTTAATGATAATGTGTGCCAACTCTAGTGGTTAACGAACTACATCTATGTCTAAGTCTATAAGTGAGATTAAATTCTCATTTTTCTCTTAATGGAATTAAAAATTTTTACCATGATGCTTATAAAATCCTTTCAACAGATGAAATTTTTTTAAAATGATAGTTCTTCAGCACTATTGTTTATTCAGGTAAGTAGACTCAATTAATTAACCCTCCTTTATCCTCACTGGATTTTCTATACTTAGGTGTAAAATTCTTTTTACACATAGAACATATCTATTTCAATGAATTTCTGTCAATGGGCAATCAGGACTATCCCATGCACATGTGGACATACAGCAAATCTTCCTTAGGAGGAAGAGGACACTGGTCCATGCCTTGGGGGAACTGACTACTTGCCAGGTAGTGTTCTAAGAGCTATAAATGGAATCAAGCTCTTCAATTTTCATGAATATTATTATTAACCCTATTTTACAGAGCAGGAGGACACTGAGTAATCTATGGAAGTCACAAAGCTTGGAAGTGGCCAGGAATAAAAAGAGAATAAAAAATGGCCAGAAACACATTTTCATTTCTTAATTATTTCCTCATCAACTAAGCTGGTTCCTCAGTAAAGACTTATATTCCCCACAAATATAATTTCCCCAAGTTTAATAATAGTAAAGCAAAAAATGAGAGCAGAATCCTTCTGTTGACTCTCAAGACTTTCCAAAAACCATGTTATCCCCTTAGCAAATGGATTTTGCAAAAATAAAAAATATATATTTTAAAATTTCTCTATGAATACATGATGGAAACATATGTAATCTATGATCATGAGCAATTAAAATCTGACAGTGAGTCTTGTTTTTAAGTATAAAACATAAAATAAAAATCACCCATAGCCCCACCATGCATAAATCACTACTCACCATCCAGTCTTTTCTTCTGTTTTTTAAAAATGTAGTAAATAGGCTGGCTTTGAAAACAGATTTTATTTGGATAATTTATTCAAGATATTTTTTCCCTTGTCTGGGGTGGGAGGATCCTATTGTCTTCCTGCCTTCCCTCAATGTAGTCCTTCAAAGGAAACTGAAATCATTGATAGAAAAATCAAATGAAACTTTGGCCACCCCACTGCTTCTTTTCCTATTTGAAAAACATATACTCTGATTCAAATTAAAGATTAGCAAAACTCTCCATAATTAGCATGCATTCCCTTATTTCCAAAGATGACTTAGCTATTCTTGATGACTAGTCCTTACAAGGGTACCTGCAATGAAAGGGTCAAGTTTAAGTCTTCTCTAAATCTCTGCTCTCCGTCTCTGTTAATGTCCTTCCTGGTGTTAGACATTTGTTTAATGATCAATAGTGGTTTCTATTCCTACAGCTGTGTTTTTCAGAGAGTAGCATAACCAAGTCAATGTTTAACTGGATTCTTTGACTCTGGAATGGCAATGCAGGAGGTAAAGGGAAGTCTCCATGGAAACCAACCTTCTGGGAAGTAGCCAGGGGGTTAGTATGTGGTGAAACAGAGCAAGAGAGATGTTGTGAGGGAAACCACTACTTTCTAAAGCTGGGGTCAGCTTCCAAAATATCTTTTTTTTTTTTTTTTTTTTTTTTTTTGGTACTAGGGATTGAACTCAGGGGCACTTAACCACTGAGCCATATCCCCAGCCCTTTTTTTGTATTTTACTTAGAGACAGAGACTCACCAAGTGGCTTAGGGTCTCCCAAACTGCTGGGATTCTGAAATATCTTAATTAAAACAAACTACGTTAAAGACCCCCAAACTACCTCCAGCATGGTTTTCCTTTGAATCTCTTTCATGGGAAATGGGCCGGAGTCACTCTAAGGCTCACTCTCGGGTCACCAAAGTAGCCCCTCTGGAAAACAAAGGAGCAGACACTCCTTCAGCTGGCCCTATGGATTTTGCATTTAATCAGAACCTAGAAGAAAAGAGCTCATATTCGTTGACAAGACTACAGGACCGGAATGAAATTCTGAATGGCCAGCTGCCACCTCTTCGAGAAACCTGGTATGGAAGATATTCTACAGGTAAATGCAAAACTCAGCATGGGATTTATGTATCGGGACCTAATAGAGCTGTCAATAGATTGACCCATCTCCGTGATCTCAGCAAGTCTCTAATTTATTGAGATGTAAGGAAATATGTGGGGATTGAACATTTGTCAGTTGAAGTAGGAATTGAATGTCTGTCAATCAAAGGTATTCTGGCACCTTAGAATGGGAGTGTAAACTGTGTACAAAGGCATTTTTAACATTCCAAATGAGAAGGAAAATTATTTTGTTTCAGCTTAGTTTATAGTGCTTTCCATGTTTGTACTGAGCTTTGCCAGATCATTAAAATTATAAAGGCACTGATGTAATGAATGATAACAATCATGTATTTCAGTTAGATTCTAAATTTAAATCATCATCTCCAATACAGTTTAATGCATCAGGCTTTGTGGTTTTGAAAGCAGCACTTTAGGAGTGAATCTTCTCTAATGTGACTTTTGAAAACACCCCAAACAAAATTGATTTATTGTAGAACAGATGAGTGGATGAGTCACCCCTTCTCTTCATGGTCATCTTCAGGGGAAATAATTTTTTCCATTTGATTGGAAGCTCTCAGCCTGAAGTGGCTATAAATTATTCTGTGATATTTTATAAGACATGTAAAATATGTTGTGATGATCATCGAGATAATGAAACAGATATTCTAACTTGGGAAGAGAAATATGTTTGTAAAGTATATGCAAGTATATATGTATGGAATTTTCTCTTTTCTTCTCATCCTGGATCAGACACACAAGTAAGCTCCCCTTACTGGAAGTCTTGATCAGAATGCCTGCATTCTCTTTTGAAACCTAGCAGAACTTGCCCACAATGATTTGCATGAGTGTCTTCTGTAGAATTGACAATGTTAAGTAGTTCTATACAGCCTATTTTATTTGTTCTCCAACTTCTTTAATATCTGAATGGGAATTTTCCCCTTAGTTGAACTGAAAGATTCTTTTTTTTTTTTTTATCCAAACTCTTTATCCAGAGTTTTAAGATTTTTGTTAACTGGATAGTGAAAGCTGATTTTAGTGCTTTAGAGTTCCAACTGGAAATTTTTATTTTTGAGAAGACAAAATCTCATTGAATATAAATAACAAGGCATTAGTGAGCATGCTGCAGGCTAATCCCAGTTCCACCAAATACCAAACCAGACCATCTTGAACGAATCACTTCATCAATTTTCTTCACCTATAATCAGGGGTGAAAACAACATGCCATATTGGGAAAAATCTAACTAAATAATGGGGTTATATCTTTCAAATCACAGTATAAAAATAAGAAGTAGTCAGACTTCTGAAAAAAATTTGCCAAAAATATTTACACTTTTAAATCCAATGTTTTGTTGTTGTTTCTGTACTCTCGATGTGGTATCATCATTGAAAGAAAATACATCATTTTCAAACTACTAAAAGTTAGAGCAAAGTCATTAAAGTGGTCATTAAAAGTCTTAAGGATGGAGATGCATAATACTCCTGGAATTTTCCATTTCAAATGTGAAGTGAGAGTATAGGATGGTCTATTTAACAATCTAGAAATCAGATGCATCCATATTGCCAAGGGAAAGGACAAGGATTTCACTCGTGCTGTTTGGTCTTGGCAACAGTACAAGAGCCCAGGATTATAAAATTCACAATAGACCTATTGAGCCTCCCTGTTTCCTAGCAGAGGCTTAACTCTGTAGCCCTGGTTTGTTTTCTCAGGAAAGAATGTCAATATGTTGTATTACAGTAGCAACTTGGAATTTCCCTGGTTTGAGAGAAACTATTTAATTGTGATCATACAAGGCTAAGCATTGCATGCTCTTATTGGAAGCTCGTATTCTAATTCTGAGTCACCTTTCTCTGCATCTAATCACCTATTACCTATTTCGAGTTCCAAAAGATAGATAAGATAGATTTTTTTCATTTGTTAAATATATTTTTTTCTGATTTCTTGTATTTTGGGGAGGAGATTCATGGAACTAAAACAAATAAGTGAGTTTCTATGACTTTCCATTACATAGGCCAAATTCTGCGTTTCAGTTGCATTTGTAGTCCATGCATTGTTAATTTTGCAGATCTTCCTCTAAATATCTATCAGAGAAGGAAATGATGAAATCAGAAATTAGACTAAAATTTTATCATTCACATTCAAGTAGGGACCCTGTTCCATGTGTTTCATCTCCACATTCAATCTATGGGTTAAACGTATATAACTGAAAAGGTACAAAATTATGTTAACAAGTCTAAAAACTAAGGATCATCTTTCTAATTTAATGGTAAATTGTTTTAATGGCTTATTCTCATTTCTCCCCCAATTCTTCAAGCACCCAGGGCCATGTATTTTGACATCCCACTGGAACGGGGAGAAACAAGTATTATTAAAAGGCATCCACCTCGAAGACTTGAAGTAAGATGAATTTAAGAGGCTTCATAAAGAATTTCTTGGATTAAATAGTAATATCTCTTTTTACCTATCTTCATAAAAGAAGGATATTGACTAACATTAATAAGAATATTTTTAAAGATAATTTTGCCAATTGCAAGGACCAATCTACTTAGGATTTCCTTTGTAATGATTTCATTTCCAAAAGGAGCAAGTATACTAATAAGTACATGGGTAGGGGGACTTCGGGGCCTGAATCTAGCACTGACTCATTGAGTGTCTCTGGGAAATTATAATAAATAACAAAAACAATGACTACCACTACTATTCAATTACCACCCTTCTACAAGTCTGATACTATTCTAGACAACTTAATCTATGGCATTCATTTAATCCGCTAAGCCTCCTATTAGAAAGGAAGTCTTGCCCTTATTTTATACATGTGGTCAGAGAGCTAAGTAACTTGCCCAAGGACACACAGAGACTGAATACCAGCCAGATATCAAAGTCCTTACTCCTAATCATCAGTTCAAATGATCTCTACAACTTCTAACTTTAACTTTATTTTCCCAGAAAATAAACTAGTTGTTGAAATTAGGAACATTAAATCTCAACAAAGCAAAAGCATCAAATGTATTCACCTTAATAAACGTTTAATAGATTCCCTTTAGAGGGATACAAATTCTAAGAGCGACAAAGTCCAAAAAGTATCATCCTAGAAAGGGAAAGAGATCAGAGTGGGTCCTTGAAAATGAGCAACAGCTAAAAGGAGGGTTTGGGGCTCTCTCATGAGCAGGATCTACCATTGACATTTGAGAAACGGGATTATAGCCAAATCCCACCTGCTACATAATTCACCCAGATGCCTGGGCTATCCCCAGGGGTATAGAAGCTTATTTTTGAGAATTATTTCTGTTTCAGTTGGTTTTTATTTGTCTTCTCCAGAAGCTCAAAATTATCATTTGAAATGATTATAGGCTTTCATTCAAAAAGAGCATCTTTTCCAAAATTATTAGAAAATATTCCAAAATATTAAAAACCTCAAAAATATTGTTTAGCTCAAGAAAAATAAAGTATAAATGTAATGAATTAGTATCTAATTTCAAAGTTTTTGAGCATATCTATGGATAAACTGAATAACTTTAAGACTTGTTTTATTCCTAAACCAAAGTTTCCTTTCAATGGAGTGTGTTTAAAATGTCTCTGTGAAGCTGACTAACTCAAACAGAAGAAATTATAGCCAGTGAAAAACATCTGTGTAGCACTGTATAGTCCACAAAGTATTTTTATTATCTATCAAACCTATGGAAGACAAGGTCAGGTTTGGGTTCTCCCAATAGTCCATCAAGCTCAAAAGAGGACTTTGATATTTCAGCATCTAATACTACACCCCACACACTAACCAACCACCTTAAAATTAAAGTCAAGAAAAATATATGGGCTCAGTGTTAGATACTTGTCATCCTAGCACCTTGGGAGGCTGGCTGAGGCAAAAGGACTGCAAGTTCAAAGCCAGTGTTTTAGTCAGCTTTTTTGCTGCTGTGATTGAAAGACCTGACCAGAACAGTTGTAGAGGAGGAGAAGTTTATTTGAGGGCTCACGATTTCAGAGATCTCAGTCCATAGACAGCGACTCTATTTCTCAGGATTCAAGTGAGACTGAACATCATGGTGGAAGAGTGAGGTGGAAGCAAGCGGCTCACACGATGTGAGAAAGCAGAGAGGTGTCTCCACTTACCATATATAAAACATATGCCTCAAAGCCACGCCCCCAATGACCCAACTTCTCCAGCCACACCCTATCTGCCTTCAATTACCACTCAGTTAATTCCATCAGGGAATTGATTTACTGATTGGTTTAAAACTCTCATAACCCGATTATTTCTCCTGTAAACCCTCTTGCATTGTCTCACACCTGAGCTTTGGGAGATACCTCACATCCAAACCATTACAGCCAGCTTCAGCAACTTAGCAAGGCCATAAGCAATTTAGTAAGATCCTGTCTCAAAATAAAAAAAATTTGAAAACTGGGCATGTATTTAGTCATTAAGCGCCCCTGGATTTAATCCCTGGCACCAAAGAAAGAAAGAAAGAAGGAAGAGAAAGGAAGGAAGAATGGATAGATTATGTGAGTACAAAGGCTATGTCTCATTTAATCATATATCTTCAGCCACTAACATTGTGTGCCACAGAAAAGTCAGTTGGTGAATGAATGAACATCATGTCGGCTGGGGGAAAAACACTCAAAGTGCACTCCCTGCTACTACAGACCTGGAGCATCCCTGTATTAGAATCTGCCTACCCAGAGCAACCAATATGGTTAATTATAAAGGTAGAGGAATGTTTTATTGAACCTCAGAGCAGGGAGACACCTGTCGGCAACTGAAAGGCAGAACTCTCCAAGTTTCTCCCCCAAGCTCTCTTCTGTCTGTGTGCTTAATGCCTCTGCAGATCATCCTTCTCTGCTCCTCAGGTGCACTTGATGAAATATGGGCACCCTGGGATTGCATCTTATAGTTCCAGTCAAATGGACAGATTGACCTGATCCTCTTGGCTCTGATTCCAAATTCCTGGGAGGCAAGATATGACTGGCTAAGCTTTGCTCATGATTCGAGCTCTGATCCAGTGAGTTATAAGCAGAGGACATGTTCATGCAGTAGAAATGTGGGTGGAAGAGTCACCCTCTAGATTCTGGAATCAGCTCCCAGAAAGAGGGAAATCACTAGGAACTTGGCAGACACTCCCAAAGATATCAGCTATAATTATCTTCACAAATGAGGCTCAGCACATTTTCCACCACAAATGGGTTTTTGAGAGAATAATAAATGCTGGGTTCCCATGACATGCTAATTAATAGCCTAATCTCTGCCCAAAAAAATTCTAAAAGTATTTTTAATTATTAAACCAAATATAATTGCATCCTAAATAATTTGAGCTGTGTATTTGGCACTCTCCATTTCCTGAACATCTACTCCTCAAGGATAGAGCAGGTCATGAACTAAGGTTCCTCAACTTGGAACTGAGCTCTGAGAGCCTCTGCCAGGACAGTGAATCAAATGTGCCTGCCCCATGGAGAAGAGTTGATCAGCAGCACCCCCTCTGGTCTGATTAGCTTCTCCTGCAAACGTCTAAAATCCAGCCTAAGTTGGGAAGTTGCCCCCACATGTACTACATCCCCCGATGATTTGCTTGGATAATTCCCTCACCTCCAAGGATTTGTTCAAATGTCACCATCTTCAGAAGGCCTACCCTCCTGACCAATTTACTGACAATAGCAACCCTCCTCCAATCCTCGTGATTCCCTCCATCCTTCACTGTCTTGTCTTTTCCCCAGCACGCCTATTTCCATCTAATACACCAAACACATTATTTACCTATTATGTTCATCTTGTATTTTCTTCACTACTCCCTTATCTCTCTCATGCTAGAATACAACCTTCATAGAGCCAGGTATTTTATTTTTCTGTTGTTACTAATGTATCTGAATATCTAGAAGGGTGCCTGGCACATAACACATGGTCAGTAAGGATGTTTTGGTTATTGAATGATTGAATTGGAGACGAAAGAATGACGAGTGTAAATCTGCTGGTGAGGAATAAGAAGGATGGTTCTGCCTTGGATGGTTTCAACGTTGTTTTTGGCCTTAGACAATATTGAGTCTACTGAACCGAGAACGTGACATAGACCTTCATTTACTCAGATTTCCTTTTAGCTCTTTCAATAGCGTTTCATGATTTCTCCATGGGAGTCTTGTGCAATTTTTAAAGTTTGTTTCTAGGCATTTGTAACAGTTAGGGTTCAACCAGAGAAGCAGAACCAGCAGAAGAAGTTATCTATTAATAGACTTACAGCAAGGAATTGGATTATGTGATTGTGGAGTCTGGCAAGGCAAATCCAATAACTACAGGGCAGGAAGGGCAGGCTGGAACTCTCAGGCAGAAGCTGAAGCTGCTGTCCACTGGCAGAATTTCTTCTTCAAGGTAGCTTTAGTTTTATTCTTAAGACTTCTCAATTGGCTCGGTAAGGACTGCAGTGAGAACTTTTCAGAGCTATCCATTCTCACGTGTGCAGGCCTCCAGCCGGCAGCTGCTCTTTCCTGTTGGATGAGCGCTGAGCCCTTTGTGGGGAAAACATGTCAATGAGAAACAGAAATTTTACGTGGAATCTAGTGACTCTAGAAGTTTTCAGATCTGTGAAAAATCTAATATGACTTTTTCCTTTCTTTCTCTCCTCAGTTTAAACCATTCTCTTCATTCTCAGTTTGCAGGAGAAATCTTAACCACAGGTTGTTCCTGACTTTTCTGTCCCTAACTCACCAGAATCCTGGGGATCCTTGGGGATGTTTTCTGTAGCACCTTCTCCCTCCATACTCTGACAATGCTCTCCTGAATAGGACTCCTCACACACAGAAACAAAAGCTGTGAGGTGGGGCTAATTTTTTATAGGTCCCACTAAGTCATCCCAGAGCCAGCCAGGGGCTGCTATGCAGCCGGCTGACTTGGTATGATGACTTGCTGTCCAGGTACTGTCAGATCCTCAAGGCCATTTACTGCAGACAACACCTGCAGAGATGGGTCCCTCCCTGTGTGTCTCCCCTAAATGGCAGAACTCCCCAAGGCTTATCCTGGCCAATGAGAATACACCATAGGGAAATAGATTCCATTTAACCAGTCAGTGGCTCTTCTATAACCAGCCCATCAGTCAGTGGTAGAAGAGGCAAGGAGAGAAAGGAAGGTGTCATTTAATCAGAACACATTTCTAGAGGGATAGTAACAAGCAGGGGGAATTATATATTGTCAAAGTGAGATTTTCAAAATGAAATTGTCAAAGCCTTTGTATTAGAGGTCTGCAAAACTCTACAGAAACCTTTAAAACTACCTTATATATACTGCAAAGTGCCACTTCACTCACTGATAGTGATACAAAGGACTTGTCAGGGACGCACAGTAGTCCCCATTTATCATCACAAGAAATCTCTATGGATTATGATGGCTTAAGATCTCACTCAGTCCATATAAATTATCC